GGGGTTATCACCAGCTGGATCAGATCTCGGGAATATAGCATCTGCATGCCCTGCTGCATCGGTCTTATTTGAGCCCAACCACAGCTCATTATGGGCATTGAAATCACTGACGAGAACGATCTCTGAAGCCGGGTCCGAGCGAAGCAAATAAATTCAGGGCATGTTTTGGAGTTGAGGCGAAGCATCACAATGTTCGATTCCAAAGAAATGTCTCTGGAGCAGGACAAAAGCCACAACTCCCCCGTTATTTCTCAAATTGGAGTGGGCCTTGTCATTTGGAAAGCTAAGATGATGTAAAAGTAAAACTCGAATTCCGAATTAGATTTGACTTATAAAGTTTAAAGACAGTAACGATAAGCGGTAGATATGGTTCTCAATAGCAGCGATCAACTGGAGACTTTCCAACTTAACTCAAACAACTGTAGAGTTACCTAGGTACCTTATCAGTGTAATTCACTTGATTACCCTCGATATTACAAATACAAAGAACACTTTCATATGAGTGGCTGACATCTCCGGTGGCAAAGGCTACAAGAAGATGGCGCTAGTTAGCTTTTAGGTCATGTAGAATGTTATAAACAAAGATGTCAACTGCTGATCATCTGTTCATGTCAATAGACGTCAAAACGTGAAGGTACAGATAGACATGCTCAAATCTAGCACAAAAGCATGTTATTAATGAGCAACTGCTACTTAGCAGCATGTGTGTACATACGTTTCTAGAAATAAGTATGTATGCTCATTTTGAGTATGTTTAAAAATCGACCGTCGTGCGATTTTTTGGGCCGGCTACCTGCAGCGCGGGTGTAAGGGGGCGTGCTTTTAGCGCAAATGATTTTTTTACGTATCAGTATCTTCTTCTCGCATTTCTAGTAGCAATCGAGTACTTGCTCCAAGGTTTTCTCTTCTAGTTAGCCAATCACGAACCCAAATCGTCCTACTCCTCCTTTTTTTTCTTTCTTGATAACAACAGTTTTTGGATGAACTGTATTACAATTAAAATGATGACTTTAATCAATTCTCTGGAGAGGGTCACTTGGTTTTCCATTTTTTACAACCTGCACTTGAAACACAGACTGGAAACACTGACAGAGAGCTTGCTATTGAATAGCATGTGCCCAGAGCATTTGCTTTTAGCAAGATTGAGAAGAGCAGGCTTTCAAAAAGCATGCTAAGCACAAGCAAATGTATCAGTTTGGAGAACATGCCATTTTTAAGCATGGTGTTTTATAAGCATGTGTATCTATACCTTGAAGTCGTGAAGGTTACCTTGTGCCTATGATGTTTTTTTTTATATCGAAACAGCCGCGCAGGCAGAAGCCTAAATGCCGGAACACCGTGGCTGCTATGATGATCCCAAAGAAATTTTGTTAATACGATTTTTGAACTGCCTAAGGTTAGTAGAACTAGGAAAAGCTTCCTCTTGTAGGTTGTTCCACAATCTAGACACCCTCGGTCGTATCGGCCAGTTCTGAATGTACGAAGTTTGACACGGTTAGGATGGGACGCCGAAGTCAGGCGGGTCTGTCTGGTAGGCACATCGCGCGGCGGCATCATGGAAGAGAGCTCTGAGGAGCAAAGCCCGTTGGTGTAACGGTAGAAAAGAGGCAGATCGCCGACAACCTGCCGGTGCGAAATAGTCCCGGGACTGTCTGTTAGAGAAGGGTCATCGATAATGTAGTCGGCGCGGCAGCACCCCAAACGTGCGAGCAATACTCGAGGCTAGGCCTTATCTGGGCCTTGTATAGAGTGAGAAGGTCATGCGGAGAAAAGTACTTCTTAGCCCTAAACAAATAGCCTAGCTTTTTTCCAGCAGCTGCAGCTATTGACGAGATGTGTTCGTGCCAGATCAGGTCCTCGGTGATCTGGACTCCGACCAGCCGAAATGAATGGCTCTTTGGCAGAACTCGACCATCCATCGAAACCCGGTGAGCGCAGGGACGCTTTTTGTTCGTCAGAGTACAGTACTGCGTTTTGGAAGCATTGAAATGTACAAGATTGTTTTGCGTCCCCAAGCAGTGATAGCCTCCAGGTCTCTTGACAGAGAGGAAGTCATCGCTAGTCTTCTTTTTTCCAACTCAGCGGCAGAGATCGGCTTGTCACTCTGAATTCCTGCATGTAGAGTGCTATCATCAGCGAAGCTGTGGATTGGGTTGATCGTGCAGGAAAAGAGGTCGTTGATATGTAAGAGAAACAGTGTCGGAGCCAAGACCGCTCCCTGGGGAACACCCGCGTTGACGATGTGGGATGAAGAGGAGAACCCGTCAATTACGACGGATATCTTGCGGCCAAAGATAAAGTCAGCCAGCCATCTGCAAAGCTTGTCTGGGAGGCCATAGGATGGAAGTTTGCTTAAGAGGGCAGCGTGCCACAGCTGATCGAACGCTTTCGTGATGTCAAGAGCAACGACATGAGCCTCACCATAAGACTGGATGAGTTTACTCCACAATTGAGTGACGTAAGCTAGGAGGTCCCCTGTGGATCGTTGGTGCCGGAAACCATACTGCCTGTCGCTAATCAAGCCGTGACGTTCGAGGTAGTCCAGAAGCTCGCGATTTATGCACCTCTCCATCACCTTACTTAAAACAGAAAGCAGAGCTATAGGCCTGTGGTTGTAAGGGTCGGTCTTAGATATCTTTTTTGGGATGGGTTGGACATGAGCAAATTTCCAGTTTTCTGGAAAGGTGCCGGATTCATAAGATATCTGGAAGAGACGCGAAAGAACTGGAGCAAGCTCCGGTGCACACCTCTTCAGTACAATGGCAGGAATCAAGTCCGGACCAGAAGCTTTGTTGATGTCGAGCGACAAGACCACTCTTACGGTCTTATGCCTGAATGTTACCTCCCGCATAGTGTAGGGAACCCTTTGAATTGACGGCACTTGGTCGAGTTGGCAGCAAAGATCTTGGCTAGCACTTCCGCCTTGGCCTTTGAGTTGAATACAATAGTTCCATCCTGACATGTAAGTGATGGAAGGCTACTGTGTGAGAAGTTCTTTTCAATCTGCTTGGCCAGCGTCCAGAAAGACCGACTGCCATTGCGCTGCGACATTACCCTGTGCCTAACTTTTATATCATGCTGGTTTTTGGCATTGCGAACCGCTGCTTTATATTTGTTTCTGGACTCAACGTCGGCTGGTCTGTTCTCTACAGTGGGGTTTTGTAAGAAGGTTCTGTATGCCTTGATCTTCTGCTGGCGAGCAGCGTCACACGATTTGTTAAACCAGCCGTTGGACCCTGGTCTAAGCACTTTCACTGTGTGAGGAATGTATTCCTCCATTCCGACCTGGATAATTTCGGTTATCGAAGAACAGACAGCCGACGCATCCCCGTCAATGAAACAGACATCTTCCCAAGGAAAGCTAGAGAAGAAATCTCTGAGCCCCTCCCAGTCGGCATGTCCGTAATGCCAAGTTTTGCGGTCTGTACGAGTTTCTGCTGCCACAGCGGGTTTTGACCGAAACCTAACCTCCACAACACCGTGGTCTGAGTTACCCAGGGGGGACAGGACAGCAGTGCTGTAAGGCGCAGGATGCGTGGTCAGAAAGAGATCCAGCAGGCTACTGGCGTGTGACAAGACGCGGGGGAAAAAAGTAGGACTTGTCACCAGCTGAGTCAGCCCTTGGGTAAGAGCGAACGCTTTGCCTGCACGACCTGCTGCGTCGGACTTGTTTGAGCCCAACCAAAGCTCGTTATGGGCATTGAAATCACCGAGAAGAACTACCTCTGAAGCGGGGTGATTGATGTTCAGGAAGTCGATCTGAACGGCGAGGTATTCGAGTAGGTCATCCCAGTTAAGGTCCGAGGGAGAGCGACAAAGGCAGCAAATAAACTTGGGTGATGTTTTGGAGTTGAGGCGAAGCCACAGAATGTCCTTCCGGTCTGATTCCAAAGGAACATCTCTGGAGCAGGAAAGACTGCAGCGGACAAAAGCCACAACTCCCCCGTTCTTTCTCAGATTGGAGTGCACCTCGTAGATTGGCAAGTTAAGATGGTTAACCGGTGCAGACTCTGAGATGTTTGTCTCCGCCAAGAAAAGCACGGCGGGACGATTGGATTGCAGGTAGTGATGAACAGCATCAGTGTTGCTTTTAATCCCGCAGATGTTCGAAAAACAAATTTTATCTTCGATGTTGTTCCCTCGAGCCCACCCTCCACCCGGACATTCCGAGACTGGAGTGAGTTTACGTCCGGAGTTCTTAGTGCTCGAGGGATCCATCATCATTAATTTCTTTGTTTTGGAGGATAACCGACTGCATACCTTAGGTGTGGAAACATGCGGACATTTATAAGACACCCTGAGAAAAGCTAGCGGGTGGTACTGCCTCGGTCGACTGGTCCTTGTCTACCACCTTCTTTTTACGTGTTAGTGATGTTAAATAGACCTAAAGTGGCCCGTTAGCGAACTTGTACCGCCACCCGGCAATCGGTACTGAGGTATTCCTTAACGCGTGGACAATCACTTGAACGGGAAGAAGTTGTATACTGGACACAACAACTTCCGGAACAAGCATTTGCCACGGCCCCACTCAGTAGGCTTATCTTTATCTTGTCTATTTTTAACAGTTTGATCTCTAATCACACAAGTACTGCCTAACGAGATCAAAACTGGCTGACATTCTAAACCGACGCAACCTACTTGGCAAAACAAAACTGATGGCAAGCAGAAACGCAAAACACGACGGAACCGCAGTCTCCATCTGCTGGTAGGCAGATTTACATCGCGTTGTGCAGTCTTCCGTCTGCAGTTGAACTTTCGTCCGCTAGGTGACTTATAATTGAGGATTCTGCAAAGATTCGGTATGGCTGTATAAAACCTTTAATTTCAACTCAATCATTAAAAGAACTGTAAATGTCAAAGACTTTTGCATTTCCTGAACATCAGACACATACGTAAAAAGGGGGGAGCGCATGAAGAGCGCTCTAGCGTTCAATAGTATAACTGATTTAATCAAGACTGTATTTTACGTGATTTTACAGTGTTCCTCATTCATAACAGTTGTCATTTGAAGAGCAGATGTTCTTTGTCCGTTATGTAATTTCCATTCCATATTTCATGTCAAACAACAAAATAACTGCTTTGTTTTCGTTTGCAAGTTCGTAGGTTGATTTTCTACGTCAAACAGAAAAGCAAATTCCCAGTTGAATCAGCCTTTGTTTACAAAATAGAACTGATTATTGAGATAAAGTGAAGAAGGCAATTTAAATGTTGCAGATATGGCAAACATAATCCCATCAAACAGTTCCAAACAGCCTATGAAGGTATTAGAAGTGCCTTTGAACAAGTTTTCTGATGAGGTAGTGCCCCATCATCAGAATGTATTCGAGCAGTACAAAGGGGGAATCCAAAAGGTAAGTATCTACATCATTTATAATACCTTTTGAAATGAGCTTTTTCTATATAAGTTATAAACTAGGAAAATAACTAACCAAGAATGTTGAAAACGGTAAAAAAAATTAGTTCTGTAGGAAATAAAACTATATATAGGTCATATAAGGTAAGCAATTGTTACAAGTAGCAAGGTACATTGAACTTGTAGCAAGTGTGGTGCAAAACAGACTGAACAGGCAAACTAAGTAGGGTGTGTGGCTGCAAGTACTATTTTATTTTGTTGGTCAAAAAGACTTATTGAACATATAAGTCACATTACCATTAAGTATTTAGTGTAGTTGGTACTGATCATTCTATCTATCTATCTATACTAACCTTATACATCATTGATTACCAACATCTAGGCTACATGGTTAATAAATATCTCATATAATGGGCATATGCCTAAAAGAGTGTGCAAGTAACACAGTCTGAACATCTTGTTTCTTTTTTATCAAAAAACACTATTACATTATTGAAATGTGAAGAAATTATACAGATAATGATCACAATGAATAAATACATTCTTGCTATCATGCTTGTTTGTGAAAATTTAGCATGTCTGCCATCCTACTTGCATGAAGCAAGGTTTTCACTTACATATCCAAAACATGCTAGCTATAATAATGGAAATTAACAATAGACATTACCTAAAGCTACTATGTGATGGTGATAAAGAATAATGCCATTATAAACATAAAGTCAACAAATAATGTTATTATATTATATTAAATACTACATATTTTTTTCGATGTTATTTCTCATTCTACATCATTTTGCAGCTTTTATTTGTGAAGTAAAAAGTTGAAATGTGATTGTTTTGTATAGCTGATTTGTATGTTGAGAACTCCATTTTGAATTGTCTTTGCATTTTGTATTTTTATTTACAGCTGGTTGCACTCAATAACACAAAGCAACTCAAAAAAGAAATAAAGGAGAAGAAGCGTACAGTGAAACAGCTTAGAGATTTAATGTATGAACTAGATACATTACGAACACAAGTTGAGGATGAAGATTTAGATAAATTTGACATCAAAACACTTTCACTTAGAAAAATAATCATCAATTTAATCAATGGTTATACTGGTATGTCAACCTATATAATAATTATTTAGAATGCACTACTGGAAAGAATTTTGGATACTTTCTTTTCACTTAATTGTGCTATGCTGACTATACATAATTGTTTGTTGTAGAACTAGAAAAATCCGCGGAAAAATTAATACAGGCAGAAGAAATAAAGATAACATCTGAGAAGGAAAATTGCAATCCATTTGAAGGAGCTTCACAACTTCAACTGCAGGAGAATCTAAATGATTTGAAGTTGAAACAACATAGAGAACAGTTAGCTAGGGTGGAAAATATAAATAAAGATGTGGAAGACTTGCATGAGATATACAGGGACCTGCATGGAATGGTGGAGACTCAAGCAACTCATGTAGATCAAGTTGAGGAGAGTGTAGAGAGTACTCAAAAGAATGTAGAAGGGGGTTTGAAGCATCTAGTTAATGCTCACAAGTGAGTATTTCACACTCTACACATACATACATCACATTTTCTCACAATGTAGCAAGTGTTTATCATCATGATTTAAACTTGGAATGGAGCACTCGTTTTTTGATGATTATTTGAGACAAGGTTATTACAATGCTGAATATTGAAATATAAGCATGGGGTCTGGTGTTGAATAAATACTACAGGAAACTAAAAATAACTCGAAAATGGATTCTTAAAATAATGTTCCACCTATCCAACAGATATGATATATAAGGTATCCAAGATATGTGATTGTAGGCTACTGCATTTTGAGAGTGTGTTCACATATGTTACAAAATACTTACAAGCATTTATTAAATTTCATATAGCATGACCATCATACCAGATCCAAAGATTATTCAGTACGCATACTGAATCCTATCAAAACCATAGATCAGAGGAGTTTCACTTTCCTAGGGCCAAAAATTAATAAGTTAATACCCCCTCAGATAAAAAATAGTAAAAGTACCAAAGCTATGAAAAAGCATCTAAGACTGTGGATTTTGGACCAGTCTAGCCTCAAGATTCATCAAGCTATTGATATAAAAAATATCTACTGCTACTGAGAGCGGAAATCTCTCAAAATTACTGAAATTTCAAAATGAAGAAACACTGATAACATATAAATCAAACTGACCTGAATTTTCAATCAATGCATTTTATTACTCATTTTTACCATTTTTTGTTCTTGTCTATTGGCCTAATGTTGTCTTTTGTTTCAATATTGTCTCTATCCCTATTGTGTATACGTCCCTATTGTGTCTTTTAAAAATATAACCAGGCCTTGTCTACTAAATTTTATATATATATATATATATATATATATATATATATATATATATTAGACTTAAGTTATTTATACATGAGCTCATGCCCAAGCACAAGTTTTGGGTCCATTCATTTATTGTACAACATTGCCTTTTATCTACTACTGCTACACTTTTTGTTCTTTTAGCAATAAACATTACTATTATTATTATTATCGCAAATTAGAATTTTCACAAATTAAAATGTCACGTATTTTAACAGACACTATAGCGATTCGTTTTTATAAGTGGCCCTTATTATGCTCTAAAACGATTGTGATGGAATCACTCATTGCTCTTGTGAATGTCCGAATTGAAGTCGTACGGTAGGGTGCTGCTCCCAAAGGCTGCGGCAATTTATTACTTATCATTTGGACGGTATCAACCCCATATTCCTACTCCAGCTAAGAAACTCAATGAATTATTTATAAAAGACAATATTGCAGTCAGGATTGAAGAAGACGTGATAATGATTCATTACGATTATTATTAATAATATTATTTAAAAAAAATTAATAGTGATACTAGCTTAGCTACTCTGATATTAGTATGACAGCTCAAAAAAAATTAAAGAAGAAATTTACAGATGAGCGTTTTTTTTCTCAAAGGACCCACTTTTCTTCCCCTCCTTCTCTTTCCACTGCCCCTGCCTTGTGTGGATAATAAGAATATTTTCAACACTGTTATACCGATAGATGTTGTAGAGCTAATACTAAGGGTCATTTATAAAAAAATCGTGATACTGTCTCTTATAATACGTGACATTTTAATGTTTGATAATTTTTAATTTGCAATATTTCGATATCGATCTTACTTAACGTATTTTGATTAATACTCCTTTGGCATATCTAACGTTGAAAAGATAACAAATAATTTCATATTATAAGAGTAAAAATGTTTTCAAAATTTGATCAATTATGTTATTCGAGAAACTAACGCCTGTAGAGATATGATAACTTAGGGAAATATTTTTCTTGAGCAGATGATTTCATGGTAAAAATATCAAGTCAATTTTCCAGCGAAGCATCTAACCCATGCTTATCCAGCTATACTCTTTATATGCGAGACGGTCAGCCTTTAATTATACTGCTCGCTCTTTGAATTCCTGCTCCAAATTCAACCACGCGATCATTTTTGACGATCTCATGAAATTGCACATCCGAGCGCTAATTTCAAATTATGTCATTTTTGGGAAAACGTAGTATGCAGGATTATTTAATCATTTTAATCATTTAACACACTGATCACTCATAAGCTTACACTAAACACTAATCACCGTAATGACGCGAGTGCCAAGTGTGTCTGCATTTGGTTTCCAGATTAAAGGCAGTGGCATATCCGGTTACAGGCGCTTTTCTGGGTGGCATGCTTGGTGGCCCGGTCGGCCTGGTGGCGGGACTCAAAGTAGGAGGAGCAGCGGCGATAGGCTGCGCCATCGCTGGATACACTGGTGGGAGGTAAGTATCAAGAAAAGAAAATTATTTTTTTAAAACTAAAAATAGCTCTTTAGACATATATCTGGTAACAGTCAAAAGTTAACAGATAAAACAGTTCTTCAGCTGAAATGGACATAGTTGCTTTCCATCTCTGTAACAGCCTTTTCACATGACCCGGCACCCGCCGTACGGCGCGCGCCTGATGCGGCGTTGGGCTATGGGAGTAGATGAGTCTTTTCGCACAATATCCGGCGCCGGACTGCCCTACGCCGCATGGCCCAGGCCTCTACAGGGTCCGGCACTCAAAATGCCATAAATTCGGTTTGGAAAATGATTTTTATTTATTCCAAAGTACAGAATGTGTGACAATATTTGAAAATGCAGAAATGATTCACCTTGGCTCCTTTTGCTTTGACTATATCATTGAGATGGCCCAAAAACGCATCACAAGCTGCCCGATTGTGACTTGATGATATTTTGGCCCATTAACGGACAATGGCTTTCTTCAGTGTCTCGAGGCTGGTGTATTTCCTAGCTCGGACCTTGCTCTCCAAAATGGCCCAGATAGCATAATCCATTGGATTTGCGTCGGGGGGAATTCGAGAGCCATTGTATGGTCAAGATGAAGTTCGGAAGGTTATTTTTCAGCCATTCGAGCTGTGTGAGCCGGCGCCTAGTCTTGTTGAAATGTCCATGGGCAATTACTTTGACGCCAGTCTCAATGAAAACGACTGGAGAGTGCCCATCCGCGGTTACAGCGGCCCAAACCATTATTTGTGGCGCGTGCTGCTTCCGGGTGATCAACCGGTGGCTCAAATTCTCGTAAGGACGTTCGTTCAAGTGAGCCCTATCATTTTGAGAGTTTAATTGCTCAATTCGAAAAAGTATAATAAATATCCAGGGTGTTAATAAAGTATGTAGACGAACTTTAACCATCGAATCCTTGTTCAATTTGAAGACGAAATTTCCATATGAACATCATACAGTTCATCAAATGATTTGATTGACATACGAAAGTACGAAAAGAAACTTTTCACTGTTTCGCAATGGGTTGAACAAAACCTTGAAGGACCCAGAAGTATGTCGATTTTGCAGCAATGGGTGAATCCTAAACCGCCTATTTCTTCTTATTCGCCGTCTCCATATCAAGTACATGGCTAGTTCTTTCTTCTTCCGCGCTGTGTCCATTTCAAATAGCTAGCCTCAACTGAACAGTCAAAATACGGGAGCGCCGCGCGGCGCGCGCCGGACGAAACCTACCTCGTGTGAAAATATCACGCTTCTCAGGACGGATCATGTGAAAAGGGCGTAAACTGGGCAACCGCAGACAGCGTTGTTCCATTGCACGTCAGCAAATCATCAGTGCGGACACAGAAAACATAACACTGAAGAAGTGGGAGCTGCACGATAAACGATGGAAACACTGTGACGTTTGTCAGATGGTAATTTCGTTTGTTCATCATTTTTGAAATCAGAAGAAAGGGTAGAAATAACAAAACTGTATTACCAACATGGGAGCATTACAAGAGCTACTGCCCGGTTGTTTAATACGTTGCATCCAGACAAAAATATCAACGATAAGTGTGTGGCTAAGTTAATAAGAAAAGTTCAAGCAACTGGATCTATGTCTAATATTCGCCGTAATCACCATCGAGAAAATCGACCAGTTAGAAATGAAGCCACAGAAATAGCTGTTTTGGGACTCGTAGCACTTGGCAACACCCAAAGCACTCGTTTACTTTCTACTTCAGGATTTACACGCTCAACAGACAATAAATTTCTCCCGTACAAGACAAAACTTGTCCTTGAGCTTAATGAAGACGATTTTGATAGAAGGTTGGAGTTTTGCGAATTAATGTCCCAACGTTTAATCAAGAATGCGCATTTGTTATTTAATATTTGTTTCTCGGACGACTGTATGTTCTATTTACAAGGTGCTGTAAATAAGCATAATAATTGTCGATATTGTAGTGACTCGAATCCACATTTGTTTCGAGAGGCAAACTCGCAATATCCTGAAAAAATAAATGTGTGGGCCAGCATTTTCGGAAATCACATTGTATGGCCTTTCTTTATTCCTAGAAACTTGACGGGCGAGACGTACTTGGGCAAGTTAGAAAATACAATAGAGCCGCGAGTTACCGAAATAATAGAAAATTACGTTAATTATAATGAAAATTACATTCATTTCCAACAAGATGGTGCACTGCCGCACTATGTGGCTCCAGTGCGACAGTTCTTGGACACCCATTTTCCGAATCAGTGGATCGGCAGACGAGGCTGCATCGAGTGGCCGCCGACATCTCCGGACCTAAGTCCTCTATATTACTTTCTTGGGGCATTTGAAAAGTTTTTAGTACAATGCCAGATTGCATTTAAGATCTTCGTCGGTGGATTACGGCTGAATGTAGACAAATAACTGAAGACATGCTTGAAAATGTAAGGAATAGATTCGAACAAAATCTTTACTATTGCATGGAGGTAAATGGACACCACTTCCAGCACTTATTACAACATTGACCTACCTCTATAGCAAATTAATTCTTACCTTAACTTTAATGTACTTGTAAACTGTAAGTTGTTTTTTATTTTTTTTCTAATTCTCTGAGATTTGTTTTAATTTTAAAGTCTTGTTATTATGGGAACTATGTACATATATTGATTATTATTTTTAACAAAATTTCCAGAATATCTTCACAACAATTGACGATATGTATAAACTTTATTACACAAAATTTACTAAAAACTTCATGGAAAATCTAATGATTAAAAAAATGGGGGTTTGCATTTGAAAATCTAAATTGTAATTCAATATCAAATCAAAATTAACATGTCCGAGCGTTTTTCCCAAAATACAAAATAGGGGTGCGACCTTTTCGTTGGGCCACCCTGTATATGTGTTAGCCTCTTAGGTACATTACAGACAAGTTAGTTTTCGTAAAACGGTGCAGGCAGGCGTACACACTGTATCTCAAATAGAAAGCATTGACATATGCTTGAAATACCACGTTCAAGCGTATGTGGTTTCGTTTAGCAGTCAGACAAGTATGGAAGATTATGATCATGGAAACCACAGGATAAGTTTCAGGTGTTACATTAACATGAAATATATTTTTAAACTTATTCTTTTGGACCAAAAGTAATTACTTATAACGATAAAAACTTATTCAGAGTTAATAGTATTATCACATAAAAAATTGAATATGTAAACTCAAAACAATACTTGTATCATACAGAGAATAAAAGCAGTATAGCTTGAAGCCCACTATTTTCTTCCTTTGATCAATCGATTTACTGCTTTCATGCAACACTACCTATTTTTGTTGAATAACGTGATATATATTATGTAATTGTAATCATGGCGTCAAAATTTGAAAAAGGCAATAAATGAACTTTACTTCCTTTTACCCAAGTACGGCAGTATAGAAAAACAACTTTTTGGAATCAAGATTTTGAAAAACTAATTTTTCGGCGCTTTGTAGTTTTCTGATTTAGGGGCGTAACTAAAAAAATGCGGGGATAAATATTAATGAAATCGTCCATGCTCCAAGTTGCAGATAAAAATAATGACGCTTGAAATATTTGTATGGTTAAAATTCCTCAAATCCATCATTCACTTTGGTAGGTTCTGTTTTGAAAAGCTCAAGCAGTTCAGTATTCGTATATGCATATATGTATAATTCAAAAATAGTTTTTATGTTAATGCGTGAGAGAAGGTCTACTATACTAAGTGACATATAAATCCGAATACCCAGTTTAAATGGTTTTATTTTAATATAAAATTTTGTATAAGTACTTAATGAAGCATAATAAGTAAATGATAAAAATTTCAAAATGATTGCACTGCTTTAAAGCCCTTTGACTTTTAATAATGTGTGGATGCACCCTGATGTGCTACGCATTCTCCAACGCGCCTAGGCATGCTTCTGATCAGGTGGTCAATGTCCTCCTGTGGTATCTCATTCCAGGCAACCACCAACTCCTCTCGAAGTGCTTCTAGAGTCTGAGGAGGACGTTGCAAATTGAGCAATCTCCTACCCATCATATCCCACACGTGCTCAATTGGGGATAAGTCGGGAGATCTTGGTGGCCATGGTAACAATGTGACATCATTATGTTGAAAGAAGTCTATTGTGACTCTTGTAACATGTGGTCGGGCATTATCTTGTTGGAAAGTTGGATCTGCCAGGGTGTCAAGACAGGGTAAAAGATGGGGTTCTAGAACTTCGTGGATATAACGCTGCGCGTTCATGTTACCTCTGATGAAGATTAAAGGTGACCTGGAACCATAAGCTATAGCACCCCAAACCATAACTCCAACAGTGTGATGAACATGTCTTTCAACAAAAAACTATGGATTCCGCCTTTCACCACGTCGCCTTCTAACCCTGGCACGACCATCGTGCATGCCTAAACAAAATCGAGACACGTCACTAAAGACAATACTGTTCCATTCCTGATCCCAGAGTGACCGTTGTCGGCACCACTCAAGGCGATTACGTCGGTGTTCTCGAGTTAAAGGGAGGACGCAGTGTGGCCGGTATGAAAACAAGCCAAAATTTCTCATTCGTCGGTAAACACTTCGCATGCCAATAGGTCTTCCGTGTTCTGTAAACCATTCATTTGCAATGGACCTAGTAGTGGAGAAACGGTCCCTTAAGGTCAATAATCTTAGGCGGCGAGCTTCACTGTCTGTTGTTCTACGGCGGCGTCCAGTGCCCCTTGCTCTTTGCGTACGGCCTTCTCGAAGCCATGCCTGACAACACCTAACCACAGTGTCTACACTTCTTTGCACTCTAACTGCAATTGCCCGAAAAGAAAGTCCAGCGTCCCACTATACGGCCCCTATCAAACTCACTAAGTTGACGAAATCGTACAGGTCTCCGTACTCTAGGCATCGTAACCGATCGTAAAGGATGTCAAGAACCAAAATCCGCCAACGTTGATTCTTTACTGCGGCTGAAATATTCATTTTTAGAGCGTTAGTGAATTAAAAACAAGCAGTATAAAAACCGGAATGTCCAACTGATAAGGCTGAAAATTTTTTCACTTGTTATTTACAGTAAGATAAATACATTCACCAACTTTTATTAAAATAAAACCTTTTAAACTGGGTGTTCGGATTTATATGTCACTTAGTTATACTTGACTTCATTTATGTTAAGAATGAAACCCTTATCAATGCATAAATCTTAGGGGTTCATCTAAACGTATGAAAGATGAGAAATAATATAGCAAGATTTGTAAAAAATCCGAATGAGAGTTTCCGATAAAGGATACTGCCCATCGTTATTTCAAAACATGATGAATACTTTATTTGCAAACAAAACAAAGATGACACGTATGAGTAGTTTCGCCTATCGTGGTACTGCCGAGCCTTACGCACTGGAGCAAGACACTACAATTTCCGGTCATCTCTGAATTACAATGTTTGCTTCTAAGAAGCCAAGCAAGAAACACCCACCATATAGGCGGTCCATTGTTACTCAGGGTGGTACTTATAGTACCCACCGTGCTGCCAGCATTGATGTTTTTATGTGTTCAGGCAATCATTAATACAGTATAGGTCTAGTCAGTTGGAGACAGGACGGAAAGCAAGCAAGAGAAAAAAGGATCTATTGAAAAACTCAATATTGATGGCGTGTCACCTTTGTTTTATTTTTCGCACCCCACAATATTTTTATTTCAATATACCCATTTTTTCGTGTTAGATTATCGTCATCTGTCTCAAAATGTCTAGACTTATACCATGAGACCACGTTGTATTCAGAGGGTTGTGATCGCAGAAACGGAAGGTAAACATACATTATTACTTACAGGCTATTTGGTAAGTGGAGAGGCGCAGAAAGTATTCAAGAAGAAGCGGACAAAGAGGCAGAGAAGAGGCAACAAGAAGTAACAGTAGTGGCAGAAAAAAAGGACATTTGACAGACGTGTTATCCAGGGTGTTATCTTTGTTGAATTATCAAAGATATGTTTATCGATATGGGAATCACGTACTTGTGTACATAGATAGCTGAAATTTTGGTAGGCTCTTCAAATGGACTTATTTTTTATTACAGAAACTGCTAGAGTAAAGCAAGCATTAGCACGTTTTGAATTACATTTTCTTATTACAGAATACTGTTTTAATGTATCATCTAAAGGCAGCAAAAATACAATTCGGCTTATGAAAAAAAGAAATATATCATGCTTAGACGTTTGATTTTCGAATTCTGATCCTGCTACTATTTTGGGCGTTTCCTATTGTAAATGACATCACTCGTTTAGATAAAACAAGTGTACATATTTTTGATGTTTAATTGTAATACATCACTTTATTTTTATACCTGCGTTTGTAGTAATATAGCCGAGTGTAGTTCATAAGCTTACAGGAAGTAAATAGCAAATTACTCTGAGCAGTGACCAAGAGTAAAGAACCATGCTAATATGTCTGACCACAAGAAGGTTTAGTTTAACACTATAGGAAATTTATATTTAAAATCATGAATATTATGGTTATTAATACGATCCTCTTACTCAATCCGGCAACGCTCTATTGACATAATATGACATTAGCGTACACTGCCTCAGTTACAGCGACGTGCGATAACCTATTATGTTCATTTCTTCTCTGTCACACCCTCTTTATCAAATTGGTGAATCCAGGAAGACATTAATCATAGTAGTATAAATGGGGCTTTCATATTGTTAAGCTTAGGGTCACAGTGATCTTTTTCGTGTGTGATATCTAAGATTATATAATACTTTTACTGGCGTTTGATTTGATTTATAATATTAATATCCTGAGAAACAGATCTGATGTATCAAACGATCCAGAAAATGTATATGCATATTTGTTATTTTGTGATATGCTTGACTTTAGTAATACAAAGCTGTTTTTTGTAATCATTTTTCTAGGTTCAGGATCTCCGGGAATGTTCAATTCTTTATCAACTACCATGGAGTATTTTTACTTTTTGTAGATTATTATGATTCACCCCAGATACTGCACAATATAAAAGGATTAGTCGTATCTAAAATGTAATGCTAGTAAGCTACATACATTGTCTGACTTTTATTTTATTTATATTTAATAGGCTTTGTGAATAGGCACTGTGAAAAAAAATCATGAATAAATAATAGTAATCCTTAGCTGAGTTTGATTGATGTGTTTCCCAAATGGATTAATAGGTATTCCGTGCATCATATAATATAAACTGTTCTACAACATAAGGTGTTAAATTCAATGAAATATTTTCCACCGCAATTATAGCAAAATGAGTTTATTGTGGCTACTAGGGGTGATCTGCTGCATTAACCTAATTGAGTGTCTGCCACAGACAAATAAAAGCATTAACCTACAAAGTAAGTACTTATATTGCCTATAGTATTCGCAAGGTGTGCTAGGTGCATTTTTATGCAGTTATGTATATTTTATATGAAATGTGCAAATTTTTTTATATAAATCTGCGGGGCCAATGGAATTTGTTCTCAGAAGTGCTGCTTAAGCAACACCCTTCTCCTCCGCTCGTCTATTTTTAATCACCGACAGATGAAAAAATTCCTAAGACCCCCTAGACCAATTACTAAATCCGCCACTTCTCGTTTGCCAAATGAAATTAGCATGTATAGTAGTGAATGTTAAATTATAGTCTTATGAACTATATCACTAACCGGTTATAATTGCTGGATACACAATAGGTGCGGTGGAATGAGATGAAATCTCTGCACACAAGCAAATGGCTGGGGTCGAGGGGGAGGTGTTTCTTACTGATGTTAGTATAATCTGTTTTCAGATGAAGCAAATACTTTTATGAGTTAAATCAAAAACAGTTTTGGAAATCTCAAAGATACGCATTGAGCGAATATATCCCCAAAAATGATGAATTGTAAAATAATTTGTTTTTCATTGTTGGGGGGGGGGGGTCCTTTTGGATCAGTAACAAATTTTAACAATATGGACAAAAATAAGCGGAGTTTTCAACCAAGGCGTTTCAAAACGGTAAATTCATTATTATTTATTACCGAATTTCAGGAAATTTCATCACAGTTTGAAGGCGTGTTAAATCTGTACATTCAACTCGTACCAACATTTTCTGGAAAGTCATTAAAATAAACTCTTCAGATTCTACTCCTCACAACACTAACATGTTCAGCCACGTGTTTGTTATAATTTTTCACACCCCACTCTACAGACTGTTTGCATTATAATCTAATTACATCAGATATAATAAATTCATAATTTGTTTAAAGGTACTCCCTTCTATAATACATCGAAGCTTGGTGATAGCCCAACGTTTCCAGTCAGGAAATACGAATATAACAATTACTTTTACTTTGGGGCAATTTTGAAGGTAAATTGCTATTATCTTTTATACATAACGTAATTAGACGTATATAAGTAACAAATATGCTTTCAAGGTTTGAAGATAACAGAAGTGCTAAGAACTTGTATAGAGTATACAGTAGAAGTTATACACATCCTATTCGGAACTGCAACCACCCCTGAAATAGGTTTCGCCTGTTTAAAAATATAAAAACCAAAAAAACCTTATACTTAACAAAATATAAAAAATACCAATATACTTATTGGGATGCTTACTAGTTGTTGAAGTAATACTCTTTAAGAACGTACAATCTTGATAATTTCAGGGCAATCCAGAAGAACTAAGTTTGTTCTGCAGCTATCATAATATGAGATTGGCGAGCATAGAAAATTCTGGAGAAACTAAATTCCTCATCGATTCCTTGACCCAATTCAGTAAGTATCAAGGTGCAGCATGACGCCGTATATAACTTTCGTGTATATATATTATTAGTATTATTATTATTATGATATGCGATTGTACCTACATTATGAAAATTGCTATTTATCATTATTTACAGAAAATCATTTCTATCGATAGTATCGATTTGTCTGTGTCTGTCTATTATTTCTGGTCAGCTGCATGCCGTGTAATGTATAGCTCCTTGGAACTTATTGCATAACGTAATATAAAAATCGCTATTTATACAATAAACATAATATACACAAAAAAGTTTAAAACTGTACTTGTGTTGTGGTTAACCATTCAGGAAAAAACGCAAAACGGAGGACAGTAGTACAATACGATTTACACATTTATATCTTTCGATGCTGAACATTCGGCTAAATGATTCATACAATTATGACAATTGTATTTTGGATATTAATGTTGCATGTATGCATTGTTATACAAATTGCTTCTAGTTCAGTTCTGATTTTTGAGGTATGTTATTTTAATCGAGCTTCGCGGTTGTTGTGGAATCCTAACTTTAATTTCTTTTTCAATTACTTTAATATTTTAATAGGTTTTAATCGCGATGGAATGTACTGCAGATATTTGGGCCTAAAATAAGTAGAAATCCTTGACCAATGGTTTTAGTTGTCTTTGGTATAGATAGTGAAATCTTCAAATTTGTTTGACAGCTACGCATGATATGATTCAGAAAAACCATATCTTTAATGTGATAGATTAATCCATTGTAAAAGTATATGTGTCTAATGTCTGAGAATTAAGCTTCTTTGATAAAGGAAGTAGTCATAAGACATAGGATAGACAGCCCCTTCTAAGAGCACTATTTTTAATGTGTATGTGTCTTGCGGTTATTATCGCCTTCATATTGCCACAACACATTAAACTTTCTTTGTTGTTGTGTAGTTCCTGGTTGTTTGATTTTGATGAATGTTTGGACGTTTTTGGATTTGTTGTTTGAACAGTGAAGGAACTAAATGAACGATCAAAAGAGGGGCAGTGTGCAAAATGGAAAACTGAATGTTTTTTTTTTTTTTTTTTTTTTTTTTTTTTTTTTTTTTTTTTTTTTTTTATACTCCAACTACCACGAAGGCCTGAGGCCTAAGCACCCATTGGGTACCGTGGGGCTATGGGGGATACATGGGAAAGGGGGGACGCCACACGGACTCTGGCGAGGGAACACGTGTGCATGCAACATGCACACATTCTGGCTCCGCCTACGAGAACCGCCGGGTGGTACCTCCGCGTTCGACAGTCAGAGACCATCTACCACCTACTTACAATCACAACATCCATGGCCAAGAGAAACATTTCTCCTGGAGACGGGAGTCGAACCCACACAGCGCACGGCGACTGATCAGGAGACCGAAGAGTCTACTACTGCGGCCACCGCTGCTGCCTAAAACAAACACACAACATCCATGGCGAAGGCGAGATTCGAACTCGCGGCCCGGCCGGCCGGCTGATCAGTAGCACGACACTCTGACCCACGCGGCCAACCGAGGTCCCACTGTACTCAAAAAACTGTACTACTTTTTGAGTACTCACTGTAGGCAGTACTCAAAAAAGTATTCTCTTCCGAAAAAAAGTTATCGTTAACAACCGGACAATTAACCACACTAGAATAACGAAATTGACCTTTCCAGTCGCTGGCCAAAAGCTATTTACATATTAGCTCATTAGGAATATTTCTTTTATAAAACTCAAAAAAACATCGATTTATCGATACATCCATGTTTATCTCTACGATGTTTGCATCCCTAAAGAGGAATAATTTGACGACTCGGGCATTCGCACAGTATTGAGGGCGGTATAGTTTTTCTCAACTGGATTCCACTTCGTTGGAGTCTAGGGTCACCGAATAGCCAAAAAATAGGATATATTTATAAATTATTCAATTTTGACATTACAGTTTGCTGTACTATACGAAATATTTGATCTACTTTATTTCACTTCTTAATAATATATCTCGTTCTTACTGCCAGAGAAGCAAAATCTGGTATTTTGGACATCAGGAAGGAAAAGAAACGGAGTTTGGTTCTGGGACTCTGAAGGGGCCCCAATCCACTACACAAGCTGGGCTCCCAACGAACCTAGGACTGTTGCCGGCACCAACTGCCTTCAGGCTCTTTTCAATTACACGGACAGCAGCATTAGATGGAGCGTAAATATCTGTGAAGTAGCCAACTATTTCATTTGTAAATCAAATTATTGATTTTTAATTATAGTGTTTTTGGACAATATAATAAATTCTTTGAAACCCGCCTTTTCAATCATACTATAGTATATTTTTGTACTATAATGGATCGCTTTCCTTCCTATTTCACGTGCACAATCTTGATACATGTTTAGGTTAGAGAAAATTTCGAGAGAAAATGAGCAAGCTTCATCAAAGAATCGAATTAGAACCGATAGGACGCTCTTCTTCAAGTAGAAATATTAAACTCTCATTTTAAACAGACGTTTTGAAAAATCTGCTCAGGTCTATGACTTAATGCTCCCAGCACAGACATACGTTGCATACACCCAATTATATCTGCATAACATGCGAATCATTTACGGTTGAGGTCGACCGAGTTTCAATGTGTAGGAAAGACAAGCGTATATGTTCGAAAGAGTTAGCAACCTGCCTTCTTGTCGTTGGCAGCCGACGTGATGATTATATGCCCAATATTTCTAACACTTTCTACATACGTGTTGCTCGCTTCTCTCTCTCTCTCTCGTACACATTGATACCGATATGGGTATTACTATCTTGAAGAGTCGTTTTTTTTTGACATCACGTAGACTTTTCTACAAGATGTAGACTTAGCACTAGCTGATGGACACTGCTTGTTGTGAACTCGTTTTGTAGTTGTAAGTGTTGCTTAAACGCCATGATGCTACAGTTATCAATATTTGGCTCTGATTTGATGTAACATCTGCTTCAGAGATGGCATTATTGGAGGTCTAAGCTGCAAGTTGTATACTACAGCTGGAAGGAAACGGCAGTGCACCTATGTGCACGATGAGGATTTATGTGCTAATAGTATGTGTTGATGGGAATTCCATTGGTTTCTTGTCTCAAATTCGCTTACTTAGGATTCAAAGATAGAAATTAGTTGCCCATCCACTTTTTCTTATTCATTCTGGAAATTACGTATGCAAATTTGATGAATTTAAAAAATGAGAGAGATATGAAAAGAAAATCCCTAGTTGGTGAAGTAACAGTATGAAAGCGAAAAAGTTATTAGGTACATTATTTTTTATTTCCAGTCGTTTAAATTTTATAGAAATTTATTTTGCGATGTCAATAGAAAATAAAATCAGCGTCTAGATGTGAGTCACTCCTAAAATGTTTGAAGTGTGATGCGTCATTCCTAATTTTTCTGTAATGTAGCTCAATTACATACAACGCGGGCACGGAGGCGACTTCCCGTAATGCAAAGTGATTGAAAACACAAAAAACGGAAAAATAAATCGTAATTTATAACTTAACCGGTCTTCAGAAAGGACAACGTACAAATAACCAATCGGGCACTGCTAATAGATATACTTCATTGGCAGCATGTTCAGTAATAATTTGCTCACATAGCAAATATCACTGATTTATACACGTGGATACCAATATACATAATCATCTAGATGCGATCTTGTAACTCAATTAACTTTCTTTGTTTCACATCACTTCTCAGAGATAAACCCTACAGACTACCCGGCTTCACAAAACATATACTTGCTTCCAGCAACCAACAATGCGTGCAGTTCCGTTATTCCTCCATAGATGGACGCTCACAGCGATCATAGCGAGCAATCCTGTGGAATGGACTATTTGCACCCTAAAAACTACCTAGTCTGCAAGATGACATTTCGTTGTTTTTCTTTTGACGTCTTAGATGTTTTTTACATGACAGCTGTGCCGGCCGACCTCAACTGTAAATGATTCGCTCCGCATAGTAACTGTGGGTATAATGCTTTCAGTCAAGTTTTCCGGTATATCTGAGAGCACTACGTAAGATTTTTAAATAGGGGTGTTCACTTTATAAAAGATTATGTCG